TCCCTCTTCTGCACTAAATCTTTTTTCTGTTTAATATTGAAACTTTAGATTTTTAAGGTATCAAAATGGAGTCTTTAAGCATCAAAAAACATCGAGCATTTATAAAGTTCATCATGAAAATTCACTTTCATCTGATTCAAGCTATCAAACTACTCCAAAGATCCTGACTACGTAATTGCAACAAAGTAAATGTCAATTTGATTGCACAAATTTAAACATCCACAACTCTGTCGATGTCCGAGCACTTATTGCATTTCAGATTCAATTCTTTCACAATACAATTCAGTGAAATGAATTGAAAAGAAAAAAGCTTGTAGAGGATTGTATGAAAAAGAAGAAAAATAAAATCAGAACGAGAAAAACGAATTGAAAATCTAATGGACCAAAATAATTCTTTTAAATGCTTTATCTTTCCAGCAATAGCAAATAACAACAGTTGAGGGCTACATAATTGTTTCTATAAGATGAGAGATTCCACTTCCTTCATCGATAATAACAAATGAATTCTGTTCCATATGATTCGATTGCTTTTCACTTCAAGATTTTTCAATCGTGATTGAAGCTCTTAGAAAAAATACGTAAGATATGAAAGCGGAAGATGCTTCTTTTTTTTATTGAATTGAGGAATGAATAATAGAAATGAAGAAGAATGAAAATGAAAAAAATCTGGGAAGTGGTAAAGGATTTTTTTCTTCATTTATTGTAAAGAAATAAGTTGGAAAAGTCATGGGGAATGCAATTTTGTAAAGATAAGGGAATTTGATTTTTCCATTGAATTTGAGAATTCTTCGATTTATGAATTCAGGAACGATATCGAAGTGCTATTGATAAAAGAAAGATTTGTTCAATAATATGAATCTCTATTGTGTTAATTCAAGAGGTGTCAAATAGTGTCAAAAGGTGTTAATGAACACAAATATTGTTGTCATTCAGGATTATAGCTAGAATATTCGAGGAAAGGGTTGAGTTTGTTTGAGAATATTCGCTAATTCATGTTTTATGAGTTAACTATATCCAAAACATTGACACTAAAGTTTACCCTACTTCATTTTTATCCTAAGTCATGCACCTAATCCTAGCCTAAGGTTTCCACTTAAATGGAATAAAGAAGAAGGTAACTGTATGCCTAAATCAGTGATTCTCAAACGTGTGGGACCTGAAGAAGGTTAACAACTTATCTAGTGCAGTGGTGAATAACCCTTTTCGTGCCATGCCATACCTTAGTGGTAAAAACACCTTTACCTATTCAGATCAATTGTGATCCAGAGATGCGCTAGGGCGTTTTGCAGCTAATGAGAGTTTAACGAGTGAGGATGGGCCAAACCACTGCACTCAAACCTACAATTTATAGTGGAATCCGAACCACTGCTTTGATGAAATTTCTGTATGTAACCTACAAAGAAGGCTGTAAGCCTCAATTACAGCACATATGATTCGAAAAAGGACAAATGAAAAATTTCTCATTCCCAGTCTCGAACCCATGTTCGCTGTGTTGGTTTTGCAATAATTAAGTACCGAAGTACTAAACCATTCCGCCACTGCCAAAACCGCACACTCACCCATTGTTTGGGCAATGTTCGAAGTAGTTTCATCATTCCTACAATAACCTTCAAAGCTCAAACATCAATTCTGCAAACAGCAAAAGAAGCCATCCGGAACTGAAAACCAAATCTAAATTCTTAAGACTTTTTAACGTTCTAAAAATACAGCAACGATGAAAATGGATTGAAAAGTGTAAACATCAAAAATAGGAAGAAAGAGATTAGGTGAAAAGGCTTCAATGTTATTGCGCTCGATTTGATATTGAAGTACTATAATCAGCACTAAGGATTGATGTACAGCATCCTTTCAACTCAGAATGACGACGGTTGTTAGATTTATTAACCTTTAACACGTTTATTCAATTTTGAATCCTGCATCAGTTCCTTGTTATTTCATAAAGGAACGTGTGGTTATGCTAGTACACATGCATAAAGTCCTCATTACTTATTCATAGCCATTCAAACATGAAACAATTAGGGATGAATTTTGGAAAAGCTATTTTCTATCTCATATCATGATTCAAGGAACTGAGTATAGAACAACAAGTCTCTTTATATGCTTTATATTTTGAGGTAAGGGAAGCTTAGAATCATAAAATTAATATACTCAATTTTCTTCTTTTCACAGCAAAATTTGCAAAATGAAAACTTTTAGTTTTAACAAAGCAGAACTCATTATTATCATGACTGTAAAAAGCAGACATAAGCTTTGAACAGCCCCAACAAGATTATCAAAAATTCTCACTTTTATGTTCCTTTATGGTAATATAAAGTGTCGGAAGTTAATTGTTATGGTGAAATAATAATAATAATAAGAATTCTGAGTTCATTCACACATGAAAGGAACAAAGAAAATGTTTTTCCAACAAAGAGGATTTGTGGTTGTGAAGATTCAGGTTGGAGGAAATTTATGTACTTTTCAGATTTTTTTTATGCTTGCTTTGCTGGATTTTTGTGAGACTTTCGAGTTTCAATGTTGAACTTTATGATTTTAAAAGCTGCTAATTCTGCAGTTACGAACGTCATTACTTGCAGTAAAAGAAACGAGTTAAAGGCAAAGCCGGTGCTGGTTCAAAAAAGGAAAATCGAAAAATTCCTGACTTCTCCTGAACAGGGTTGTAATACAGGCACCTGTGCACAGGTGAGAACCGTACAATTCCTAGATAATTTATAAGGTTTTTCAAAAAAAAACATACAAATTCTAATAAAACCTCACAAATTATCAAGAACTTGTACGGTTCTCACCTGTGCACAGGTGCATGTATGACAACTCTGCTCCTGAATCATGCAGATCAGAGTCGAACAGAAGCTTACATTGGTATCAGGTCATATATAATTGAAATCTGTCATTTCGAGAGTAAGGTCTTAATGACCGATTGTGTACAAAGCAAACCGACAATGTTAAGCTCAATTTCTCTGATTATAGTTCAATTCCCACACAAAATTTGATCTTTCAAGCAGTTGTTGTCAACATGAGATGATAATGCTTCATACAATGCAGTACAAAGCATCAAAAAACCATACTAAATAATGCTCTTATCAATGTCAATTTCAGCCAGACAGCATCAACCAAAACCTAGCTTTTTAATAATCAAAAAATGACTCGAACAAGCATATTAAAATTAAAATTAAACCATAGACAATAAAAATTCATTATATTCATGAAAAAAATCTAATTTCAAAGCTTAATACCCTCTAACCTAATATAGAAATGAAATACTTTCAATGCAGATTGTGGATGTGCAAAAAATATATATCTGAGATATAAAAAAAAAATTTCAATTGTGGCATGTATAAAATGTGTGGCTTTGTGTGTATGAATATGAATATGAGATAAATGAAATTTTGAACACGACACATCATAAATTTATTCATTAATTAAGAATTATGGTTTCCTAATCTCATCCACAGCTAGCATTGAAACATAAATCGAGAATATCCTATTGTTTCTCAATTGGATGGACATAAACAATATTATTTAGATTATCAATACACAAAGCACTTCATATTTTGATCATAGAGGCGTTAGATGTTAATATAACAATACAAATGCCTAATTTCCTGACAGTTGATTCATCAACAACAGAAATTTCAATTTGTGGAACAATAATAATCATTGAATTGCATTTGTACACTCTATGTTTATTAATTATCCTGCCCTCACTTTATCTTTCTCAGTGTGAAACATAAATAATTGTCTATGCATTGAATAATTTTATATTCAGTTCCAACAATAACATGTAGGTACATAGATATTTATTACAGGGGATGGGTATTTCAGGAATCGTTTTAATTACACGTGTGTTGTCTAGAATATTGATGCATGATTTAAAATGGATGTAACTGTGCGAATTTTCTGACTCTAGCCTTTAAACATGTTGTTCTTCAGAAACTCAAACCCACAGTCGATTAGTTAAAATTACAGTTTAGGTATTGAAATCCTCGATAGCTTCATAATTGATCGTTTTTACAAAAGTGATGATGTGGATTGAAATCAGTGCTTCGAAAGCTTTACTTCATGATACACTTGTACAGTGTTGTTCAAATTTTTTGAGACGCGGCACACCTTAAGGATAAGCCATGACAAAAGTCGCTCACAGCAAGTGTGCCGCAGCACACAGTTTGGACAACACTGCACTAGTATGTTGGAAGCTATGACAAAACTTTTGATTCTTACGCGATTTGTAGCTAAAGCAGTACTAGTCACTAAGTTGTATGCCTTATTAAAGCATCAATTAACTACTAGAACAGTGTTTCTCAAACTTTTGAGTGCGCGGAACAGTAGAGCAGCATTTATTCATCTGTTTATGTTTCAACGCCACGCTAGCAACCACTATTGACACAGCTAGGATTTTTACCGGAAAAGTAAAGCTTCGCTGAGCATAGTTTGAGAAGCACTTTATTAGAAGATAATCAAGTAACATAAGTGAAGGTAAACCTGGTTAAACTGATGACCAATCGGTAGCCGCTAGGTGATATTACATAATTTTAAGCTAGTTCGCTAGTTTGCTTGTTAATTCAAGATGTAGCTTACCTTCGTGTCGTCAATATTATATTGCACTGTCAATTTAGTCAATTTAGCCCCAAGTATCCAACTTCAGAAACTACAAAAATTTCAAATCATCTACTTTTGGTATACTAATACGAATTATGAGCCCATAAGCTACCATCCCCAAAACTATTTATCCCTGTTTCATTATCCTTGTCTCTCCAATCATTTGGTTTTGTAGGTTCATTAATTTTACAATTCAAAGATAAAAATTAAATTTTTTCTCACACATGTCGCACGACTCATACATTTTTCAGTTCCATAATGGCATAATGGTTATAATTTTTATATATATGGTATCATATTAAATTACGTAGCCTGCAGCTACACACAATACAACAACAACAACAACAGAGAAAAAGTTTCTATTATTGGATAAATATGCTTGAACAATAAACGGTAGCACATACCTCTATGTGATTTGCCTCAGGATATCCAGGTATTCGTGTATTAGATACACTAAAGTCCTTTAAACTGCCATTGTCGATTCTATTGTTGTTACTTTGCTTCGACTTTTGCTGCTCTGTATTCGATTGCGTAGTAAAGTGCTGTGGAAAATTGAAAAAAAAAATCGCATTATTTACAAAAGAGTAAAATTGGTTAAAATTCAATTTATCGTGAGCGCTTTGCAAGCTCTCGTCTGTTTTCTATGTACATAGATTGTGAATAGCAATCAACTTACCAATCGTCCATATGATCCATATTTTTTAAGGCGCTCACGTTCCAATCTTAATAGGATTTGTGCGTTTTGCTCGCATGTGTAGGTATGTAACGGTCGCTTACGATCCAATGAATACTGATATAATGGCCGGGATTGATTCGGTATAACCTTTAACGGAGAGGAAATAATTTTTTTAAAAGCTGTGGGGGATGTTGAGGATTTGGAGCATAAATTTTTGTGGCAAAATGTACAAGACATTTGTCACAGATACCCTGAAAAAACAATTAACGCCTTCACACTCTTCATTAGTGTTCAAAAATGGGTAATTGAGCATTTATGGGAAACAAATGGCACTAAATTGATCATTTATAATTCATTAACTTTTCGATTATCTCGAACGAGAGTCATTTTAAATATCCTCAGGTATTTGATTTAATTCCATTTCTAAATCCATTTAATGTCAAAGTTGTTTTTGAATTATTTATTCTCTCTTATAAAGTCATTCGGTTGCCAAACTGAATTATAGTTCGAGGGGGGTAACAACATGATGGAAAAAGGTTTTGATAGGAAATTTTTTAACAATTTTTTTTTATTTCCCACCAAAATTTTGAAGAGTGATATTTAGATATTACTAGGGAGGTAACAACATGATGGGAAATATATAGAGTTCCAATAAACCAGTGAAAATCGATAAGTATAGCGATTCCCATCATGTGGTTACCCTCTTGATTATATATTAAAATCCATTCATCAAAGTTTTGGCGGAAAACGATTAGAAATTCCTCATTGCTCGTTGTTTCCCCCTTGCACACATCCAAAAATCAGTTCATTGAGTTAATTAATGTTTAATAAACTTCACTTGAAACTTTTCGATGACTGAAGCATTAGGAAAGGCATTTCATCGTATTATTAACATATATTAAGGAGAGATTAAATCTTCAAGCAACAAAATTAATCATTCTTAGCTTTCAATCAAATAGTAATTTAATCAGAAAATTATTTTCCTCGGCTTTCGTAAATCATATTAATCTTGATAACTTCTACATTAATCAACTTAATGCAAATAAACTTGCTGAAACTTTTGGAGATGAAAATAAGTTCGAGGAAATTTTGATTGATTTATTTCTGGAGATTTTCGTGCAAACTTTGTGGGCGCAAAAAAAAGTTTGAAATAGAATTTATTTTCTTTTTTTGGTGAGGAGTCAATTAAAAGTTGGGAAAAAGCTTTTCTAAAGCTGATTATTTTGTGTTTGAACTTTTCACCAGAAATACTAATTAGATCGCTTTTATATTGAGTTGTGCTTACTATGTGTTGACAGTTTTCTTGGAAATAATAAAATTTTATTGTAAGTGGAAAATTATTAATTTTTGTTAAGGCACTTTTTGGTGGTTTTAAGTTAAATTAGCATTAGCAACAATGTTACTATAAAGCAATCATGTTAAGGAGATTCAATCAATGTCAATTAGCTTTGCACTGAAAATTGCATTGTTGCAAGTTCGAAACCTGCTTAGAATACATTAATTTGAGAACAAACTAGTAAAAAAATCGCTAGTACTTCAGATCTGGGCGACTTCAGCGTATTTTCCTCGAAAAGATCAGGGAAAAATCACAGCTCAAAATAAACATTTTATTAATTTATATAATTGAATTACAATTTTTTTGTTAAAACTGAATAATGAGGGTTTTCAGATTCAAACTTGTAACGGATTTTTCAAATTTAAAATAGATATCACATGTTATGTAAAAGTCGATTAAGTCGTGGTAAATAAATAGAAAACTTAATTTAGTTAATTTTTGGCAAGGAGTTATGAAATATAAAGTGGATTCGGATTATTTACAATATGGCAGCTATTGAATGTAAAAAACCCGAATTCTATACGTGTTTTCATTGCTGAGATCTCAGTGTACCAGCCTGCCAGCTAAAGAGAACATTAAAGCGTATTTTTTTAATCGGAAAATACCTCAAAAAGGTTAAGTGTAGATTTTTCATTGGAAAATGGCGCCAAAAAAATTTAAAGCTTGCAGAAATCATTAACAATTTTTCAAATTTTCCTTGAGCTCTAAAATTTCAACTAAACTATTTTTAATAGTTTCCTTACCAGATACTAAAATTAAAGCTCCTTTAATATCGAAATTGAATTCTAACAATTTCTTAAAAATCCTTATTAAACCCCAAACATTTCAAGATCGCCTAAATTTCCACGAAACTTACTTTTACCCCCCAAAAATAATTTTAATCTAATTTTTAAAAAATCCGATTGATTCATGCGAAATAAAACATTCCCTCCAAAAAAAAAACCTTCAACATTCAAAGCTCATTTCATTCAACATAAAAATTTAATCAGCATAAAACTTTAACGAAAGAAAAGAAACTTTTTTATTCTCATTTTAAACATTCCTATTCCTCTTAATCTCTTCTGAAGTAGTCAGAGGCGGAAGAAAGGCAAAAGCAAATGATTTTCATCACATTTTTGCGTGAAAAAAGGGTCTTCAATTGTATAGGATTTACTGAAGAGTTTGAGAGAATAGCAAAGAAACAACATAGGAAATGAGGCAGTGAAAGCAACCATATAATTGAAGAAATAATCCCAATAAATGACTAACAATAACGTTTGTGATGAAAGTTAATCAATTCTCTCGTCTCTCTCACTCTTGTGTTTCTCATTACATATTATCGAGAAACAAATGGAATTGATGTATAAAAAAGAGTTCGATTTATTCATCCGGAAAAATGTTCATGCTTGCTATTGGCAATGAAAAGGTTCATTTTTTCAATTTTGCCCTTGTTTTCTTCACTTACTTGAGTGGTTCTAGTATGTGATGCAAATGGGTAGAAAATGAATATTTTTTTGAAAGGCATGGAATATTATTTACGGGTACGGAGTGCTTAAACATGAGCAACAGCATCTATGAAGTATGAGAATAGCATCTAGAGTTCATGGAATGAATTTTGTAACTCAACAAAGCAATTTTGGATTTGTTTGAGACTCGTATCCTTCAATTTGGACAAATCAACTCTTAAGATAGCTTTAATGGCTCGTTTTTGAACCCTACACCAGTTGCAAACTAGATCTCAACGTGAACAGACGTGTTTACAAATCGCTCCGCAAATTATTCAAAAATCTCAAAAGAAACAAAACAGAGACTACCTGAGAAGCTTTTTGTTTGCAAAAAGTTTCAAAATCTCAGTTTGATTCTCAAAACATCAAAATGGTAGCATCACCAAAAACTACCAACAACGAAGAAAATTTGTCTCAAAATCAGCATGGACTTAATAGTTCTCAACAACAACATTCATCTTCAGTGACAATTCTCAATATTGAGGAAATTTTCAGTGAAGATGTTTCACAAGCAGCCGACATTGAGATGACAAATCTCAAACCAAAAAAACAAATATCAATAAAGAAGTTTCTCAATGAAGCAAGTAAAGCAGAAAAACGCCCTCGAGAAGTGATAGTTCCCAACGCTCTTTTAAAAAGAGTAGCAAATGAAAGCAAACCAAAAGATGGGAACAAACCACTGTTCGTACTCCCACCAGTGAAGAAAGCTTCGTCTTCTGGAGTACCGTATCTATTTGGTTCACCAGAACAGGAGAAAAAAAGATCGACAACTTCTTCGTACTGGGGAGAAAACAGCAAAACACCAGAGCAACAAAAGACAATTTCCGTAAACACGGAAAGCAACAACAACAAATCTCAACAAAAATCAAAACCACCTCCAATTGTCATCAGCACAGGAGGAGCTGGTGAAATCAAGAGATTGACGAATGAAATAAACAATCAACCTGGAAGTTTCTTAATTGAGACCAAAAAGGGCAAACAAGGAACAAAAACGGTAACAACGGAGAGTTGGGATTACTACGAGAAATTCATCCAACTACTCAAAGACAAAAAGCATCACTTCCACACATACTCCAGCCAAGAACCACTGAAGAAGTACGTACTCTATGGACTCCCAGATATGGAAATCAGTGAGTTGGAGAAGGAACTTCAAACCGTAAAAATCACACCAGTAAAAATTGTCAAAATGACAATGAAACACAAAAGACACGAACAAGACGACGACCAGAACTACCTCGTGTACTTCAAAAAAGATGTAGAACAAGGTGGAAATTTCCTGGAATTCCTCAGAAAAATCAAAATTGTCAGCAGTTTCAAAATTAAATGGGCTGACTACAAAAATAGACAAGCTGGACCATCCCAATGTTCGAAATGTCTGCAGTTTGGTCATGGACAAAACGGTTGTAACAAACCGTCCGTTTGCTTCAGATGCTCTGAGCAACATGACTCGAAAACGTGCCAGTACATATCGAAAGAGACCAACAAGGTTCCACTCGGAAAACTCAAATGTTTCTTCTGCGGTGAAAAACATACAGCAATTTTCACAGGTTGTAAAACCAGACAAGAAATAATTGAAAAATGGAAATCAAAATCACAAAATGGAAACAACCAAAATCAAAACAAAACAGCAGGCCATTATTCATATGGACAACGGAGAAACAATCCTCCAACACCGCATCGTCCTGAGAGATCAACCAGAAACGTCCAACATGCACCAAAACCTCAATGGAGAAAGGAGTATATGGAACCATCAACATCTGGTACACAAAAGCCTGTTCATCAAAAACAAGTTCCAGTCAACCACAAACCAAGGAACACAAATCCTCCTCCAAATCACAAACCCTCAAATCAGGGAAATAAAAATAACTTGAACAACCAACAAAACAATAAAGAAAGAGGAAAACATTGGAAAAAGAATCAAAGAAAAAAGCAAAACGAGCGCATTAATAACAATCAACATCAAAAACCAAAGCAAGTTGTTGAGCTTATGGACTCAGAAGACATCAGTGCAACAAGTCAGACCTCGAATGAAGTCTTCCCAGAACCTTCATTCAGTGTTGAGGTAGTGAACCGAAACATAACAACTAATCAACAAGCTCAAAGCACCAGCACAAGAGATAAAAACATCTCAGAAATAGAGGTATCAAAGTGCAAGTACCTTATCAGCGAGCTTCTCAAATTAATCGCCAAAAATCCAGAGTTCATCGACGAAATACTCCAAGCAATCGGCTCAAGTGCCAAAAACACCGCATACAATAATGGATTGTAGACAACAAAGTATCAACGTCCTCTACTGGAATGCTAACGGCCTCACTGACAAAATGTTAGCATTTCTCGACTACCTAAGCAAGCAAAACGTCGATGTTGCTTGCATCTCAGAAACATTCCTAAAACCAAACTCAAAAATTGACTCGCATCCAGACTACGTAATTCATCGATTGGATCGCGTGGATAGACCAAAGGGTGGTGTTGCAATCATCGTCAAAAGAAATCTAAAACATCAGCTTCAACCAAGCTACAACACAAAACTAATGGAATGCATTGGAATCAAAGTCTTCATCAATGACACGGATAGTTGTCACATCCTCTCAGTCTATCTCCCAGGAGGAAGCAAAGGAGGGGAAATAGATCTACATCTGAGAGATGACATCAACAAAATAACAAATCTGAGAGGAAATTACTACATCTGTGGAGACTTCAATGCAAAACATCGAGAATGGAACTGCAACGTTGCAAATAAATCAGGAAATATTCTTCAGGAAATGTCAGGAGAGTTCATGATCTACTTTCCTGACTCGCCAACGTACTACCCAGAAGATCGAAACAAATCAGTGTCAACAATTGACCTGATGCTCTCGAATTCCAACCTCGAAACAACAGAACTTCAATGCACAGAGGCAATGAGTGATCACTGCGCTGTGTATTTCCAAATCAAAACATCAAAAATCGACAGAACTGAAAATACAGTCTACAGATATGACTACAAAAACGCAAACTGGAAAAAGTTCAAAGCACAAATTTCACGCCGCATTGAAGACAACATTGGAGAAAATTCTTGCAATACAACAGATGAGATCGAGAATCACATTAAGATTCTCTCTGAACTCATCATGGAAGCGAGGAACTCAAGTGTAAAAATGAAAAAGATCAAGTTCGAATCAACTAAACTCACACCGGAGATTAAAGATCTAATCAACACAAAAAGGAGTCTTCGTCGAAGATGGCAGAGAAGCAGAGATAATCAACTCAAATCTGAATTGAATTATCTGCAGAGGGTCATCAATGAGAAAATTAAAGAACTCAAAAACAAAAACTGGAATAAGCGTCTCTCAGAGATTCAACCGTCAAATCAAACAGTTTGGAGAATAGCAAAATTTTGCAAAAAAGGTTCAAAAACAATGCCTCCATTGACAAATCTGGGTAAAACGTTCATCACCAACAAAGAAAAAGCCAGCGCACTCAGCGAGTATTTTCGTGAAGCTCACGAAAATCCTCTGGAACAAAACGATCCACAACATACACAGGAAGTAAACAACACAGTCAAAGAAGCATTGGAACAAGACAATGATGAGAATCCAGAACTAACAGATGTAAACGAAATCGTGAGCATCATAAGAAATCTGAAAAATCCAAAAGCTCCGGGACTAGATGAAGTCAACAACATACTCATCAAAAATCTTCCTGAAAAAGGTTTCGAATACTTGAAATTCATCATCAATTCGTGTCTGAAACTCAACCACTTCCCCAAAGTTTGGAAACATGCAAAAGTGATTCCTATTCCAAAACCTGGAAAACCAGCAAATGAGCTAAGCAGCTACAGGCCAATAAGTCTACTCAGCTCAATAAGCAAAATACTGGAGAGAGTATTACTGAATAGAATCAACGATCATCTTGAGGATAACAACATCATCCCAAACCAGCAGTGCGGCTTCCGGACTGGAAGATCAACATCTCACCAGCTCATCAAAGTGATCAAATCAGCAAAAGAAAACTTAAACAACAAAAAGTCAACAGGCATGATCTTCCTGGATGTAGAAAAAGCATTTGACAGAGTCTGGCATAACGGACTCTTGTACAAAATGCTCAAACTGAGATTTCCACTGCCACTTATAAAAACTGTAAGATCTTTCCTCAGTGAAAGATCTTTCGCAGTTTTTATTAAAGGTCAGTTCTCAGAAATCAAGGTAATCAAATTCGGAGTGCCACAAGGAGCAGTGCTTTCACCAACTCTCTACAACATCTTCACGTATGATGTTGTAAGAGAGACAACCAACAACATCGGTCTTTTCGCAGATGATACAGCACTGTATCATTCTGCAGAGAACTCGGCCGATATTGTGACACATCTACAGCACACAGGAAGAAAAGTTCAACAATACATGAACAAATGGAAGATCAACCTCAACAAACAGAAGACTCAAGCCTTATTCATCACAAACAGGCACTCCAGGCAACTACCAGGAAATAACATCAAATTTCTCAACGAAAACATCAAATGGGAAACAGAAGCTAAATATCTGGGAATGGTGATCGACAAGAGAGTGACATTAAAGCCGCATGTGGAGTATGTGACCAATAGGGCTCACACCGCATTAAGACAGCTTTATCCGCTCATCAGCAGGAACTCACAACTCGACGTACGAAACAAACTTCTCATCTACAAGCTAGCCATCAGACCAATATTCACATATGGTTGTCCAGCGTTTGGAAGCATGGCAAAAACCCACCTTCAAAAACTTCAAGTACTGCAAAACAAATTCTTGAGAATTGTTCTCAACAAAACAAGATATGAAAGGATCACCGATCTTCATACAGAAGCGAAAATACCGTCCATCGAAGACTACGTCGGAAAGTTGCAAGCGAACTTCAACAGTCGTCTTGCATCTCAAAACACCGAATAAATCAAATGAAATACAAAAGAAAGTAAAATCCGTAAATGAAATCAAAATTAAGAGACAAAAGGCAAATTGAATGCCTGAAACCTTAAAACAAAAAGCAACAAAATGTATAGAAACTTTGTACATACTTAAATTTAAATGTAAATAAATAAAAAGTTTAATTTAAAAAAAAAAAAAAAAAAAATGAACCCTACATCGATAAAGCAGCACCAGGACACTATTTCTGAGTCAAATGAGAAACTAGACCTTGAATTTGTTAAGAGCCAGTGGTTGTGGATCTTAAGTCGGTTACCAGACTGTCTGGTTGATTCAGTCAACCCTAGAAACTAATCTCTTAACTTTAATCATCAGTCTTCAGCTTGCCCTACCCAACATACATCCCCTCAAAAAAATACAATACAAAATTTAGTGCCACTAGCTTACCATCTACCGCCCATATTACTCAACATTATTATAATCTCCATTTATGTATGTTGTAACATTACAAACTTACCTCGGTTTCAGCGTCACAGCTGCACAACGATAATGTACTCAATCCTTTATTCCGTTTCAATAAGCTTTTGTTACTATTATTACTGTTATTATTGTTATTGCTAGCATTTGATTCACTCGTCGTCGTTGACGATGCTGCCGTGGTACATTTGTTCTTTAATATTCCACGAGTTTCTGTCGATGATTCGCTTGAATAATTATCACCATTGGTTGTTATGTAATTAGGATCATTTTTATATTCCTTTAATTTTTGTTGCTGTGCCAGTAAATACTGAGACTTTGATGAGTCGTAATTGTAGGGTGTTGGTGTCTTATTAATATCTATAAATGAGATATCACCCATAACATTACTGCCATCATTAACGGTCGTTTGTCGTGGACAGTGATGAAATCGATGTGATTCATCAACACGACATTTTCGTCTTGTCGGTGACAAATTAAAATTTCCACTCATTCCACTCTCCATCTCGTAATATTCACATTCACTGAAAGATTTTTTTAGACGCGGTTTTCGGCTATTTTCATCACAAGCGGTCACGTTGTTTGTGCCACCAACAATAGCTTTGTCTGCGGTCGATAATTTTTTATGATAATTATTCGAACCGTATTTAAATTCGGTCATGCTCTCAATTTCTCTTCACTTTTTTTATCCTTATTTTTTCATTTAATTTTATCTCTCATTGACATTTTTTAATTCTCATCTTTTTTTTGGCTCTCGATTTTATTTTATTTTAATTCTCCAGAAAAAAAGGAAATAAAATAAAAGCTGGATGTATATAAAATAGAGCACAGATATCCTCCACAATCAGATTACACCGCAATTAAAATTCGCATACTGTGAAATGGGAAAAAAACAGACAGAGAAAATTAAAAGTAGTCATTAGTATTAAATTTATAAAGGACATTGGGGTTGTGTGGCGCATTTTGGAAAGGAGTTCAAACAGAGGATGATTCGAGGTTGTTATTTTTAATACATTTGTCGTTGTGAACAGATTTGGTCGTATTTCATTTGCTTTTAAAAGCAATTCAATTTAAAAAATCTTGATTTAAGTCAACTTATAGGTGCTGGCGTTAGAGCCCCTGGTAAAGCTTCCATTAATAAAGTCTTTTCTAAGAATGTTTTTGTAGATGGCAAAAGATCACGCGTACGTCCCAAGAAATCTTGGAAAGAAGCTGTTGACAGAGACAGTATTGCATTTAGTATGGGTAATTAGCAAACGGTAGCCAGCGATAGAGCCAGCTTCAGGCGCCATCTAAGAGAAGCCATGGATCACAGTTGATATGTACGGTAAGTATAGATAAGTAAGTATAGGTGCTGGCATAACACTGGTACTTGATTAAAGATTTTTCGTGCCACAGGTATCAATCCTGTTCAGTGATATTACAAGAACCTAAAGAAGTTGCTTGATTTTTTTTTCTAATAAAAATCCTGGCAATTTGAATCAATTTTCTTGTTGGACCAAATTTTCGTGAGTCATGAGTGATTTCTCATCTCCCTATTTCAGGATACTGACCTATTCAGTACATAATCGACTTTTAATAGAGTCTTAACTAGATCTATCAATTAACGACAATTTTTTATAAAATTCTGAACCAACAATCACAAGACCAACGCAAGATCAACACTTACTTCTTCGACTGCATTAATCTAATTACTCGAATTAGCCAGAACTGACAAAATTTAATAGTTAATCGTTAACAGTCAAAACTCTTATTTTTAATTTTAAAGACCTTTAACCCCCCCCCCCCCCCTTACCATTCGAATTTCATTCTGTAAAATTCTTCAAAAATCCAAGATTTATGAAAATTTTAAAATTTAATTCCAGACTCAAAAAATCTTACAATGTAAATGCTTTAGAGCTAAAAATGTAAATCCTTCAAAGCTCCTGCCCAGATATAGCCAAATCCGCAATAATATTCAAAACAGTCTACAATGTATTCATGTCCATTATTTGACCAACAATCCAGGTGTTCAATTAGACACTGTGCCAAATAAAATACAGAAGACCCTCAATAATAAACGCCACACGAATAAAAACAACAGCACAGAATTGCACACAAAATTGTTTTCATATTGAGGCCAGAGAATATCAGCAGTATTAAAAGGACCAAAATTAATGGCATGTTGCGACATTTTAACTGTCAAATTTATTCACAGTAAACCGCACAGTGCTCAATTCTGTGAGCGTAAAAAAGAAGATGAGTAGAGGTAGCATAAGCAGTAGTGGGAGGACCATTTTTCTCTGTATAATTGCATGGCTATAATGGTAGTCAAATAATAATAATAATTTGGTCCCATTACACCAATAATGATGTAAATAGCGAAAGATTATGGCAAAATGATATTCCCTAACAGACAAAGAGCACGCTCTGAACATGCTTTTTAAAAATCAATTATTTAATTTGATGACGCTAAATTAGCGTACTCTCCCATATAAATGGAGATCGCAGTACGGTACCATAAAAATCACGCTCTCAAGAGTACGCTTTTTTTACTTGCAAGTTTTTCATGCAAGTAAAACTTGAGATCATGATCAAGAACATGTTCAGCTGATCATGCTTTAATTTCACTAATTAAAAAATTTTATGAGCTTGTGATTATGCTATTGATCATGTTTTTCAGAAATTGATATTTTTCTTCTTTTTTGGTGATTGCCGTGATTTGAACCCGAGTCCGCTGTGTTGTGGTATGTCCTAATAACTGTTCATCTTGTCTAATGCCTTCTGAAATTAAATAACTTTCAAATGGCGAAAAGACATATTTAAACTATAGAAAGTCCAAAATAATTTCTTATAATAGTGATTTCTGCTTTCTCTTGTGAAGTATATAGGACCTATACTAGTGATTTCTGCTAGCGCTTGTGAAGTATATAGCAAGGATAATTTGAGCATAATCTCATGAGGATGTCAATGATCATGCTTTTTATATACTCTTTTGATCATGCTCTTGAGAGTATATAAAAGATTATGAAGTAAAAACTTGCATACAAGTTCTTTATAATTAGAAGATGATTGAGTCCGCTATTGAACATGCTCTTTACTGGGATCTTGAGAGGATGTTGAAAAAGCGTATTCTCAACCGTACTCTTGATCAAGAGCATGCTCTTTGTCTGTTAGGGATTATTATATTATGATATTGGATATGCTGTGTTGTCTCATCGTAATTATATGTGTTAATTGCTATCACCATTTGGGGATTAATTAAAAGCACATTTTTGTCGTTTACATCGAGTAATTTATGATTTATGACTTAATATTTCTCCCCAAGCCTCCATCGATGCATGATGAAATATTTACACACATGTGTGAGGATGTCGAGACACTGACTCCATATTTTCATCATCATCGTCGTATTATGATGCTGCAGCTTCTTCTTTTTCTCATCCACGACACACTTTGTACATTTTTTAAATTGAAATTTTTTTCCACCCGTTTCATCCACACCAGAATCACTTAATATTTCATGAATTGCAGATTCACGATAAAGAAATGAGAAATATGTTGCTCGCTGGATTTTTGCTGGCTCTTGGTGTGTACCGTCATAGTCTTTATCATTTTTATCGCCAATCTTCCTTGATTTCTATTGCGTTTTGCATAAGTTTTGAAAATGAGTTGACGTCGTTCGGTGGCTGAATGGTTCAGTACTTTGGTACTTAATTATTACAACTCCGACACAGCGGTCATGGGTTCGAGACTCGGAATGGGAATTTTTGTCCATGTCTTTTTCTAATCATTTGTGCTAAAAATTAGGCTCACAGCCTTACTTTGTAGACACAGACAGAAAAGTCATCAAAAGAGTGGTTCTAATGCCATTAATAGCTGTAGGTCCCGGGTGCTGAGTGATATACTTATCATAAAAGAGCTACTTTTGCCAAAATGATTCATCACAAAACTTTAATTTTCAAAGGCAAGCAAACATGAACTTTTAGTCATTAGTGATAAACACACAGTACAAGATACATCATATAACATTCCATAACCTCACCCAACATTTAAACTTAACCTTTCACCTGTCTCGATATTACCATAAAATATTTATAAAGTGTTAGGGAGCAACGACTTTACGAATTTAGTTTTACCAATTTTATTACGCTTATATTGCAGAATTTATGATAACATCTCCTGATATTTTTGATATTTCATGATGGGGCGAGTGAATGAAGAACGAGCGAAAGCACATTTTTTTTCTGTTGCTGTACATTCCTTGCGTCAAGCTGTATGTATGTACATAAAATTTATAAATTTATGCAAAAATCATGATTGAATTTAAGTTGCTTGAAGGCGAGGAGTATAAAAAATTTCCATAAAGATAAATACACGAAGCATATAAGGAGGCAAAAAGAGATAACAGCAGTCGAAAAGCTTTAAAATTTAATTTTATTTCATCACAATCTGATGTATAGATTGTTGGGAATGAGAGAATAAAGATATGCAAGCATACATTTATCAATCTGTGGCTCCTTCCTAAGTTTTTTTAAGGACTTGATCTCTCATTTTAATTCTAACCCATTTCGCCGTCAACGACAGAACCACCATGATATAAATCTTTGCTTTCTTATCAGTTTGAGGAGTTGTTCGTCAATGACGTCTATTATGAAATTGGATTTTAACTCACATCCAACCCTATTCTCTCACAGAAAATGCTCATTTTGTGTGGAATTCCTAAAAACCAGTTGGACGTCATTTATAAGCAACCCCATTAGTTGTTTAATGTTTGAACCAAAAATCACACAAAAAAAGAAGGAAAATTCGGGATATCGTAAAAAAATTGAGCTTCTTCTTTTTTCATTTTTATTGCTTTTACATGTAACGGTCCCTTGGGGTTGTAAAATACACCCAGTGAGTTTATGGCCAGAAACAAATCAAAAAAAAGTGAAGGAAAAAAATAAGTGAAATGAGAGACAGTGGAGATGGAAATGAATACTTTTTATTGCCATTATCTTCTTTTTTAAAAGAGAAGGAAGAAAAATAAGAAAGTCAAATTTCAAGTACTTCGTCTTTAAAACAAATAAAGACTTCGTTGATTTGATGCCTTTTTTTTCTCATCGAAAAATTGGAAGCAAACGGCACAAATCAAATTACGATTTTCCCTTGCGAGAAGTTTGTTGTTTTCTTTGTAAGCATGAGCATTAACTGCGATGGCAAGGTTTGTTGACGATTGCACTGTGATTTCAAGGTTGGTGGCATATCAAATGTCAAAATCCCACGCTTTGTTGCAATGAGTTTCCTTTTTGAATCTTATTAAGATTGTAGCTAAGTTTCAATGATGTAATTAGATTAGCTTGAAGCTCTGTTTCAATGTTAAAGTTGCTCTTTGATATTGATTTAAAAAATTGATTTTATTTTCAAATGACCGAAGGCGTATTGGTTTTGGGGGGTCAATTGATAAACTTATATTCCCTCCCCCCCTCAAAATGGATATTTTATAGGAATCTGTAATGACTCCTTCAATGAGGCTTTATAAACTTGAAGTTTGAGCAAGGACAAAGTAAGGAATGCCAAAAAGAGTGTAAAGCAAACTGAAATATTTACATTTGTGAGGTAAAAAATCAGGAAACCCTCTCGGGCAAAATTTTAGGGGTCTGGTTTCTAGCGCTTTCTAGGCATCCTATTTATAGACCA